TGGTTGGTGGATGACGCTTGGTGGTCCTGCTGCTCCCATCAGAGGCAGTGTGACCGCCAGTAGTTGTCCGGTGAGGGTTGGTGTGGGTGCATCGCTGCATTGGTTGGTGGACGACAGTTGGTGGTTCTCCTGATCCCCTCGGAGGCAGTGTGACCGCCAGTAGTTGCCCGATGAGGGTTGTTGTCGGGTTGCATCAGCATGCATTGGTTGAGTGGCCGGGAACGACAGATTGGTGGTTCTTCCTGATCCCCTCGGACGGCAGTGCGACCGCCAGTAGTTGCCCGATGAGGGGTTGTGTTGGTGTGGGTGCATCGAGAATTGGTTGGTGGACGACACTTGGTGGTCTCTGCTTGATCCCCTCGGAGGCAGTAGCCTGTGACCGCCAGTAGTTGCCGATGAGGTTGTTGGAGTGCACTCGCTTGCAATTGGTCATGACCATGTCGATGGGGTTCCTGAGATCTCCCGGAGAGCAGTCGTGACCGCAGTAGTTGCCCGATGAGGGTTTGTGTGGGTGGTTGAATCGCTGCATTGGTGGTTGATGGACGCTTTATGGTGGTCCGATGCTGTTGTCCTCGGAGTCAGTGTGACGCCAGTAGTTGCCCGATGAGGGCTGGTGTGGGTGCATCGCTGCATTGGTTGGTGGATGACACTTGGGGGTCCTGCTGATCCTCTCGGAGGCAGTGTGACCGCCAGTAGTTGCCCGATGAGGGTTGGTGTGGGTGCATCGCTGCATTGGTTGGTTGATGACGCTTGGTGGTCCTGCTGCTCCCCTCGGAGGCAGTGTGACCGCCAGTAGTTGCCCGATGAGGGCTGGTGTGGGTGCATCGCTGCATTGGTTGGTGGATGACACTTGGTGGTCCTGCTGATCCCCTCGGAGGCAGTGTGACCGCCAGTAGTTGCCCGATGAGGGTTGGTGTGGGTGCACCGTTGAATTGGTTGGTGGACGACACTTGGTGGTCCTGCTGATCCCCTCGGAGGCAGTGTGACAGCCAGTAGTTGCCCGATGAGGGTTGGTGTGGGTGCACCGCTGCATTGGTTGGTGGACGACACTTGGTGGTCCTGCTGATCCCCTCGGAGGCAGTTTGACCGCCAGTAGTTGCCCGATGAGGGCTGGTGTGGGTGCATCGCTGCATTGGTTGGTGGATGACGCTTGGTGGTCCTGCTGCTCCCCTCGGAGGCAGTGTGACCGCCAGTAGTTGCCCGATGAGGGTTGGTGTGGGTGCATCGCTGCATTGGTTGGTGGATGACACCTGGTGGTCCTGCTGATCTCCTCGGAGGCAGAAGAAGGGCCACCACCGCCAGCGAGCCAGCTCCAGTGAGCTTGGCATCGCTCGGACGTGTGCATTTATCTTTCGGTGAAGACCATCGAGGAGCATCCTTGATCATGTGGGAAAAAACCACGCACGAAACCGAAAAAAGCACAGAGATAGGACGTCCGAGCGATGGCCAGTGAAGGGATCCCCCGATGCCCCCGCGGGCTGGAGCTCTGCGGATGTCGCGGCCGCGGAACAGGGGGGGGGGGCGCGGCGCGCGCCGGGGGGAAGGCGGCTGGGGGCGCGCCACGCCAAAAATGGCTAAGCTCGGGAAGCCTCGGGCAAGGGGGGGAAGGCAGGAGAGGTTGGGCGCCGCGTAATGGGGGGGTCATAAATGGGGGGTTGGCGAGGGTGGTTCGAAGAGGTACCCAAACGCTACCTAAACCAGCCCCCTGGGGCTCTGGAGGGGCCCGGAAGGGGCACGAAAGGGGACCTTTTCTGATCCCCCCGTTTATGGACCCCCCCATTCAGCCCCGCCCGAAGAGGAAGGCAGACGGGGGGAAGGCAGATGTGGGAAAGGCAGGGGGGGGAAGGCAGGGGGGGGAAGGCAGGGGCGAAGGCAGATGGGGGGGGAGGCAGGGGGGGGAAGGCAGAGGGGGGAAGGCAGGGGGGGGGGAAGGCAGATGGGGGGAAGGCAGATGGGGGGAAGGCAGATGGGGGGGGAGGCAGGGGGGGGAAGGCAGAGGGGGGAAGGCAGGGGGGGGGGAAGGCATATGGGGGGAAGGCAGATGGGGGGAAGGCAGATGGGGAGGAAGGCAGGCAGATATGGGGGGAAGCCAGAGCGGCGCGCGCAGGGGGGCAGGCACTCGATAGTGGGCCCTGGAAACGACAGGGCCGTGTTTTCACCGGTTCCGTCTTGCCGTTTTTGTTGCCCGTTCCGACGCCGTTTTTGTCACCGGTTCCGTCGCCGCTTTTCGACCGGTTCCGGCTCCGGCTCCAATCCCGCAGCCGTTTTTGTTGCCGTTTCCGGTCGCCGTTTGTTTGCCGTTTCCATGTTCAAGGGACATTGTTTTGGGAAACGGTAGAAAAAACGGCCCTGCCGTTTCCGGGGCCCACAAAGGGAAGGCAGATGGGGGGAAGGCAGATGGGGGCAGATGGGGAGGCTCAGAAAGCCTCCGACCTCCTGAGAGGTCTTGTGAGTCGGGGTCAAGGCACGGTGGTCAGTGCAAACAGGGGTCAGCCGGAGTGCTGGAGCCTGCAGGATCCTGCAGGGCCGCGGGCTTGGGCGTAGGATCCTGCAGGATCCCGCAGGATCCGGCAGGATCCTGCAAAGCGTGACTGACCTCTGTCTGGATTGACCTGCGTCAGTAGATCCCCGGCCGGGCACTCTCCGCCTTCTGAAAAGGCCAGCCCCCTCTCACTTAGAGTCTGGTTTCGAAAGGAGGCTCAGAAGGCTTCTTTCGAACCTTACACATGGGCATGAGCATAAACTTTCGGAACTCGGCGCGAATTTCTCGGATCGGCGCTGGTGCCCCCGCGCGCCTGGGAGGTCGACGACGACGATGACGACGGGGAAGCGGGGGAGGCGAAAAGAGGTCCGCCGTAGATCAAGACATCCGTGCGGACCTCCAATAGTGCATCTTTATGCAGTTTTGTGCTCCTCGACGCCGGCCTTCTCAGAAGCTTCCGAAGCCTCCTCCGAAGACATAGACGGCTGCTCAGCAGATCAGAAGAGGCGTAGGAGAAGCGCCGTCTTCTCAGAAGGCTTACAATCAACCCGCACAGTAAGGTTGGGCAACCTTCCCAAGGGTATCCCTGCATCTTTGCCTCCTCGGTCCATCCTTGGCCACTTCGTTGGCGGCGCCCAGCTCGACGAGCATGGCCCTCCAAGGACATTGCATCCTTGTCGCTTGTCCTTGTGATACGGTCCGGCTGTACGGTAGGTTCGTGCGGCGTTGACGCGCTGGCGACGACAGCGAAGGCGTGAAATGTTGAATTCTGCAACGAGGAAGCACCGATGGGCACGGCAATGCCATCGGACCCGACTAGATTCAACCTTGAACAATCGGGGCCGCGATCGACTCGAGATGGAACGATCGACGCGGTGCCAAAGACCTCTGCGCGCGCCGACGCCGCACGAACTCGCCGTGCCCCCTCTCGCTTCACTCGGCGGGCCGCCCCGGGGAACGACCCTCCCCAGCTCCCACCGGTGGTGGCGGCGGCGCCTCCCGGGTTTCAGTGCGCCTCCTGCGCCTGCTGCGCCTGCTGTGCCTGCTCCCCCCGCCCGCGGTCCCTGCCACCCCTTTGCTTGGGAGCCCCTCCTCATCGACCACTCTTATCCGCTTCTGCGGGGGGATATGGAGGATGAGGAGGAGGAGGAGGAGAGGAGAGGCCCTAGCCCTGATCACACCACGAAGACGCGGCCTCCCTGAGGTCCCCGTCTTCGCATCGGAGGTGATTCTTCTGGGCGGCTCGGTCTGATGCATCCACAGAAAAGACGAGCGAACAACTCACACCCATACCCATAGGAGGGTCGAAAGGAGGGGAGCTGGCTATGGGTATGGGTGCGAGTTGTCGGACCCTGGGGGAAGCTCCCGTTCGAGCGGGGACCCCCTATCCGACAACACGCACCCATAGCCCCCTCCGTCCCCCCTATGGGTATGGGTGCGTGTTGTTCGATCGTCAAGAAAAGACCCCCATATCCCTGATTTGTGTTTGCCCTTTTAGCTTAGGTCCCCTCCCAAAGGGTTCGGGGCCCCTTTTGGGTCAATCGCCTGCCAAGCTTCGCCAAGCCTGTCCCCCCCGCCCCAGTCGGACGGTGAGGCGGAGTCCGAGCAGGCTGGCGACGGGGCTCGCGGGGGGCGTGTTTCGATGCTTCTGCGGCCTCGCTGGGGCGACTTCCGCCAGGAGTTCGGCCGGGTTGCCCGCAAGGAGGGCCGTCCCAGGAGGGCTCGCATGCAGGATTCGCGCCTGAACGAAGTCCGTGGATGCTTCCCTCGTCTGGCCGTCGTTTGGAGGGGCCGTCGCATAGTTCAGTAAGGCGCAGGTATAAGATCGAGGTCGGTTCGGGGAGGGCATCCTAGTGTTCTTCGTGCTTATTGGATGTTGGATGCTCTTGTGCATCTTGGAAATGGCAACCTTAGATGTTTTGTTTGTTTTGGGCGACGGAGGATCTCATGTTCTTGAATCGGGCCGGGCGAAAGGGGGGGATTGAGAAAGGGGGGTTACGAAATTTGCTGCATGCAGCTTGTTTCGGCCCCCGCCTGAGGTTGTCCCATCCTTCGATACATGCCGCCTCCCGGCGCCGGGAGGCGCCGGAAAATCAGCTACGTGGCGGCTGATGCTCTAAACCTCCCCTTTTGCTATCCCCCCCTTTCTCCGACCCGATGAAGGTGCTCTTCTGCCCAAGTCCGACGGTAGCGTACGGTGCAGGGACCTGCCCTCCCTGGAGCATGTCGTCGGCTTCACGCCCCGGGCCCGTTGGGACCCGGAGGAGGAGAGGAGAGGAGGAGAGGAGAGGAGGGAGAGGAGGAGTGAGGAGGGAGGAGAGGAGGAGGGGGTAGGGGGAGGAAGAGGAGGGGGGAGGAGGAGGAGGAGGAGGAGGTGAGATCCCAGGAGGAGCTGGAGGACGGGTCGCCTAAGATAGGAGGGAGGAGGAGGAGGAGGAGGAGGATCCGTTCTTCTCCTTCTGGAGGTACAGGACCCTCGTTCTGCGGCGCGCCTCGGGCGCACGGCCCGCGGCCGGAGGTACTGTGCCACGAGGTGGTGGACGTGCTGCTGGCCGAGCTCGCCGAGGACGGCCCCCTGCACGCGGGGGGCGGGGTTCCCCCTCTTCCCTGCTCCTCCTCCTCCTCCTCCTCCTCCTCCCCCTTCTCCTCTCTCTCTTCCTCCACCTCCTCCTCCTCCCCTCCTCGTCCTCCCTCCTCCTCGTCCTCCCCCTACCCTCCCTTACCTTTTGGCTCCTACTCCTCCCTCCCCCTCCTCCTCCTCCTCCTCCTCCTCCTCCTCCTCCTCCTCCTCCTCCTCCTCCTCCCTCCTCCTCTTCGTCTGCGCTCCTCGTCCCCTCGCGATCCTCCTCCACTCCTTCACTCCTCCTCCCCCTTTCTCTTCCTCCTCCTCCTACCTCCGCCTCATCCTCGTCCCCTTCCTCCTCCTCTCCTCCCCACCTCCTCTTCAGGCGGCGACGCCCGACGCAGCGACGGGCGAGGTGCTCCCGCCGCAGGCGCTGGCGGGGCGGCGGAAGTCGCGGGGGGGGGGGAGGGAGCAGGGGAGAGGGAGGTGGGGAGGCAGCGGCTGGGTGCGGGAGAGGCACCCATTTCTCCAACGATCCGAGTTGTTCAATCCGTGCTTCCTTCTGATGTTGCCTCACAGGGGCCCTTCTTCGGGTCCGGAGGCCATGAACAAGAGACCCGGGGCGAACACTGGCCTCGGGGAAGGGGTCGGGACCCCTTGCGCAGCGCATGGGAACAGCTCATCCTGGGATGTGTGGGGGAGAGGGAGTGGGAGTGAGAGGGAGCGGGAGGGAGAGGGAGGGGAGGGAGCGGGGAGGTGCAGGAGGGGAGAGGAGTGGAGGGCGGATGAAGCACTGGGGGGAGGGAGGGTGATGATGGTGATGTTTATCATGATGACGATGATGCTGATGCTGCTGCTGATGATGATGACGATGATGCTGATGCTGATACTGAGGCGGATGTTGATGCCGATGCTGATGATGCTGGTACTGGTGCTGGTGTTGATGCTGATGCTGATGCGATGGTGATGCTGTTGATGATTGTGATGATGATGATGCTGCTTATGGTGTGATGATGTCGCTGGTGCTGGCTGCTGCTGATGATGGTGGTGGTGGTGATGGTGGTGACGACTATGGTGGTGATTATGGTGGTGATGATGCTGATGGTGATGCTGATTAGCATGCTGATGCTACTGACGATAGCACTGCTGATCATGATCATGGTGATGATGAGGATGAGGATGAGGATGATGGAGAGGAAGGGGAAGAGGAGGAGGCGGAGGAGGAGGTTGAATTATGGAGGTGGATGAGGGAGGGGGGACAGGAGGAGGATGAGGAGGTGGAGGTGGAGGAGTGCAGTGTAAGTTACAGGTGAACTTGCCGTCATCTCAGTGCGCCGCTGGCCGAGCTGTCTGCGCATTGGTTCTTGCACGGCGGCGGGCACGGTGCTGGCACAACACAAACAAACGCCTCCTCCTCCTCCTCCTCCTCCTCCGCCTCCTCCTCCCGTGCAGCGTGGCTTGGACGCCCGTGAGGGCAATTGGGCAGAACCCTTTGTACAGTCGGGGCGCTGAAGGAGGAACCCTTCTCGATGGGGAGGGGCTCCGAGTTCCCTGACTGTGTCCCAGCTTGCCTCAGGTGTTCCTGGGGTCTTCGACGGGGAATCGAAGCTCCACTCGTGGAAAAAGGGGCCCCGTTCCTTATTTCGGGTTCCTCGGGTCAACGCCCCGACTGGATGTCGGGTGGTTAAGCAGGGCTTTTGCCATCCTTCACCGCCGTTGCCGGTGAACGTGGGGAAGTCGCACCTTTCGCTGATGATTGTACAGTCGGAAAGAGGTCGACGATCGAGGTCGCTTCGGGGAGGTACCCTACTGCTCTCCCTGTTTGTTTGATGTTCTGGTGCATCCTGTGGAGGGTACCCTCGGATCTTCTTGTGTGCTTTGGACAGTGGAGGGTCTCGTGTTCTTGTAGGATGTTCTTCTGTCCTAGATCCGTTTGTACGCGCGATTGTGGAATATTATGCGCCTTAGACTGGTGGTAGGCATGTGCACTCCACATGCCTAGTGACAACCACTTCTGTTCACCTCAGCCTGACAGTCTCCTCAACACTCGGCAAGCACATGCTGAAGGTGTGCAGGACCTCGGGCATGTGGAGGGCGCTGCCTTGTGAAAGGGCCAATGCCCCAGCATGAGTGGCATCATAGTATATCAACAAGATACGGGGGGACTTGAGAAACGCGAAGCGAACATGCGCAAACCATTTGAACTATACTGCCTGGTATTCGCCGCGACCAGAAAGCAATCTTCAACTGTTTAGAATTGAGGAAGGCTCACCCCCATACAGCAGTATCAGGGTGCTGCCCTGTGAAAAGGGCCAATGCCACAGCATGCGGTGTATCGTTTTTTTTGTGTTCTAGGCAATATAACCTACTTGAGGAAATCGACGCGAAAATGTGCAAACCAATTGTGCTAACATGTTGCGCACTCGCAACGATAAGAACATTCTTCTAATGTGCAAGATTGGGGAAGACCCCCTCCTCATACAGCCGTGTCAGGGAGTTGCCCCGCAAAAGTGAACACGTGGTGCGAGCGTGCATCGTGACAGCAGGGCCAACGTTCTTGCCGTTGAGCTGTGTCCTGGAGGCCAAAGCCTTTGCGGTCAAGCTCACACAGCACAGAGCTACCGTTCTATGAAGAAGCATTCAAACGTGCTGAGTTGAGGAATGCTCACCCCTATACAGCCACAATAGTCGTAACGTACGAATGCCCAGAGTGAAAGCAAAACTGCCAGCATGACCGCCAGTGCGAATGCAGCATCACCAGCATTGCCGTTGGGCAATATCCTGGAGGCTAACACCCCGTCCGGGAACCGAGTCGCTCGGTGCTGCCCCGAGGAGATGAATTCCTCGCGAGAGCGTGCACTGTGAATGCAGGACTGCTGGTATTGCCGCGGGGCTGTGTCCTTGAAGCTAACGCCTCTGCTGGAACCAGAATCGCTAGGACGGGCTAGATCACGAAATCAATAGCTGACCTCCCATGAGCGCCTGGTATGGCACCAGATCCGCTAGACCAGACATGCCCGTAGAGACCTTATGAAGTATCGGGGCGTTGCCCTGCGAACGCAAATGCCACGAGTGAATGTCCAGTGTGACAACAGGACTGCCGGCATTGCCGCCGGACTGTGTGCTGGAGGCTAGCCAAATTCGCGGACGGAGTCGCGAGACTGGACAAGCCCACGAAGTAAAGAGTCGCCGTTCTAGCACGAAATTTGCAGACGAAATGGGAAAGGTTGACCCCCGTACAGCCGTGTCTAACGTTGCTCAGTGTAATCGAATATTTCGTGAGAGTGTGAGTGCAGGGTCGCCAGTAATGCAACGAAGCCACGTCCTGGAGGCTACATCCTCGACTTGGAACCTAATTGCTAGAACGGACAAGCTCTCGAACTACAGATTTGCCGTTCTACGAGCCAAGTTTCAAGATCGCAAGACTGGGGAAGGCCCACCCCGTGACAGCCGTTTCTTGGTGTTGCTATATAGAAACGCCAATGCCCCTGCATCAGGGGCATCGCGGTGTAAAACATCGAATTGGAGAGGCCCATGCCCCATCATGCGGGGTACCACGGTGTAGACAATAAGCACACCTAGGAGGAAATCCAGGCGGCAGTTAGCACACCGATTGACTCATAATGTTTGCATTCATCGCGAAACGAGAATATTTGCAAACTATGCAAGATTGGGGGGGCGTACCCTCATACAGCAATACCAGGGTTCTGTTATGTGGAAGTCCAAGTGCCCTAGTGTCAGAGGTTTAACGGTATCACGCAACATGAGGAAAGCATTCTGGGAAATCGATGAGGCAATGCGCAAACCAATTGAGCTATACATCTTGATATTCGATGAGACGAGGAAGCATTCTTCGGAGACCAAGAGGTCTCCTTACCGTGCGGGTACCCCCCGTGACCCAACAGGAGCCCTGCGCACCATTGGCACGTGGAGGAGGAGGAGGAGGAGGAGGAGGAGGAGGCCACGAGAAGAAACTAGAGAGGAGATGGGAGGGGGGCAGATGGGAGAAGAGAAAAATGGGGATACGGATCGCTAGGAGGCGGAGGAGGAGGAGTGAGGAGGTAGTGATGGAGGATGGAGAGAAGGATTGGGACGAGGAGGAGGAGATGAAAGAGCAGGACAGGATGGAGGCTGAGGAGGAGGGAGCGAAACGAGGAGGACGAGGAGAATGGGAAGAGGGATGGGAGGTGGCTGGGGAGGATAGGAGGCAGGAAGATACGAGGAAGGATGGGGGAGTCGTAGGCGAGGAGTGGAGGAGGGAATCGCGGGAGAGGCGGCAGCGCCCACTGCAATTGGGATGGGCGAGGTGGCCCATCCCGGCACGCCTGCAGGAGTGGGAGTCCCAGGGCAGCTGACGCCCGATCAAGACACCCACCTTCCTCCTCTCGTCCCTCCTCCTCCTCACACCATCCCCACCTGCCGCCTCCTCCTCCCCTCCTCCTCCTCCTCCTCCTCCTCGCCTCCTCCCCCCATCATCCTCCTCCCCATCATCCTCCTCCCCATCCTCCTCCTCCTTCCCCTCCTCCTCCACCTCCTCCTCCGCCTCCTCCTCCTCGTCCTCTTCCGCCTCCTCGCTCCTCCTCGTTCTCCTCCTCCTCCTCCTCCTCGTCCTCGTCCGCATCCTCGTCCTCCTCCTCCTCCTCCTCCTGCTCCCTGAACGTTGCCCGTCACCTGGGTCGCTCACCTGCGCTCCTCGTGCATCTGAGCGCAGCCGACGCCCTCGAGGGGCTTCGCTCCCAGCGCGCGGGGGCCCGGAGGGGGGTGAGGCGAGAGTTTTCGGGAGCCTTGAGCCGGGGGTCAATGCAAACGGGGGTCAGCCAGAGCGCCCGATCTCGCAGGATCCTGCAGGGGTCGCACTGACCCGGGCTTGGGTGCAGGATCCTGCAGGGTATTTCAGTCTCCTTCGCACCGACCCGGGCTTGGGTGCAGGATCCTGCAGGATCTTGCAGGATTCTGCAAGGCCTGACTGACTTGGGTCTGGATTGACCCAGAGGAGGAGGAGGAGGAGGAGGAGGAGGAGGAGGAGGAGGAGCAGGAGGAGGAGGAGGAGGGAGGAGGGAGGAGGGAGAGGAATGAGGGAAGGAGGAGGGAGAAAGGGAGGGGAAAGAGTAGAAGAGTGAGCTGGAGTGAGTGCGTGAGGAGGACAGAGAGGAGGAGGAGGAGAGAGGAGGAGGAGGAGAGGGGAGAGGGGGAGGGGCAGGGGGAGGGGGACGAATAGGAGGAGGAGGAGGAGGAGGTGGCAGCCTTCGAGGCTTGCGCTCGGCCGCGTGCTGCTCCCCCAAACCCCACCCCCGGTCGCGGCCTTCGTGTCCTGCCCAGGGAGCGTCCGTTATAGCTCCTGCACCAGGGCCATGGTCTGTTTCTTGCCATCGTTCGGGCGTGTGCATGTTTGGCGATGCCAGTGGTGATGTCGGCTCCATTCGCGCGGCTGGATCCCGCTTCCGGGCGGACCTGTGTCGGTGCGAAAGCGGTCTGTGAGTCGAGGGGGCCGAATTGCTCCGAATGTCGCGCGGAACGACGTTTAAAAACTTGGTGAATGTTTCCCTTAACGCCGTTCCATACACCCTTTCGACGACACACCTTCTGGATGGCCCAGTTCGCCCTGCCTAAATGATGATGATAGTAAAGATGAATATGCTGCTGATCACGAAGGCGAAACCATCGATGATGGTGATGGTATTGTTGTTGTTGATGATGGTGGTGGTCGTGGTGACGCTGTCGACGCCGACGACGATGGTCATGATTATGGTGATGATGAAGGTGGTGGTTGTGATGACGATGATGATGTTCATAATGATGATACTGATGATGCTGATGATGCTGCTGATGATGATGATGATGATACTGATACTGATAATGATGATGCTGATGGTGATGATGGTGGTGTTGCTGATGAGTGTTAGTATGACCAGGCGTGCGAATTTGAAGATGCTGCTGCTGTTGTTGCTGAGGATGATGCTGCTGCAGGTGGCGATGATGATGCTGGTGACGACGATGATGAAACTGAATCGATATTGGTTCTAAAGCTGCTGCTGCTGATGATGATGACGACGATGATACACATGATGATGGTGGTGCTGATGATGAAGCGGATGATGATGATGATGTTGTTCATGATGCTGATGCTGATGCTGATGCTGATGTTGATGGTGATGGTGATGGTGATGGTGATGTGGGGTAGGAGGAGGAGGAGGAGGAGGAGAAGGAGGAGGAGGAAAAGCAGGAGTAGGAGGAGAAACACAAAGGAGGAGGACGGGAGCTCCCTGCCCAGAGTTACGTGCGCTGCCCGAGGTTAGCGCCATGGTGCCCCTGCACGGCTTCGCTGGCTGGATCTTGGACACCCAGGCGTGGGAGGACGGTTCCTTCCCCTCTTTGCGCGTCTGCACCTCCTCCAAAAAGATCGCGGGGGAAGTCAGAAGGGGAATGCCTTCACAAATGGGGGCGCGGCTTCTCAGGCGCTCTCCGGCTTTCCGAGAAGTTCTCTGCGTCTTCGGAAAAAAAAAGGATCCAACTTGTTTTTAGAACGCCCGAGGCCTTCGGAGCCTTCTGGGCAGTCAGGCTCTTCTCATTTCCCCTCTGGCCTCGCCTCCAGGAGAGGAAGCGGAGAGTGGGGATGGGAGCGGGATGAAGGAGCCGCAGGGATTACACCCAGGCGTGGATGACAGTTCTTTCCCCTTTTTGTGCGTCGGCGGCTCGCCCTCTTCCATGGAAAGGAAGCGGAGAGGGGCGGATGGGAGCGGGAGGGAGGAGGCGCGTGAGGGATGAAGTCTAGGCGTGGGGTGGCAGATCTTTCCCTTTGTTGTGTGCCTTCGCGGAGGGGCGGAGATGCAGAAGGGAGGATGGGAGTTGGAGGGAGGAGGAAGTGGAGGATGGGGGGCAGGCCTGAGGGAGGACGGCTCTCGAAAAGAAGACGGCGGAGAGTGGAAGCCGGCGAGGTCAATGACGAGGATGAAAACGAGGGTTGGTGGGGAGCGGCTTCTTTTCATTGCTGGTTTCCCTGGCAGGGGCCCGCCTTGGACCCCTGCTCGCTAGGCGCCCCTGCACCGGCTTCACCCAAACACTTTTTGTACCATGCGCGCTCAGAAACTTGTGGCATGCGTTCTCTGGCCATGCAGCCGGAGTATCGATATTCTAGCATACGGTTGTGCTATGTGGTCTGGTCGGACCCACGCCTCCCGGGGGGACACATACTACTAGTATGTCCGTCTGCGTCCAACTGCACCTGAAGAGGAGGAGGAGGAGGAGGAGGAGGGAGGAGGAGGAGGTGGAGGAGGAGGTGGAGGTGGAGGTGGACCTGCAGAGGAGGAGGAGGAGGAGGAGGAGGAAGAGGAGGAGGACGGCTATGATGCGGGCGGTTTACGGGATTTCTGATTGCGCGGCCGATGCGCCAGGTGCGTTTGCCATGGAATGTGCTTGAAATGTTTCGCGCGACGGAATAATGGCAGAAGCCGGGGCAGAAGGAAGAGATGGAAAGCAGCAGGGCCGCGGACGAGAATGATGAGGATATGGAGGGAGGAGAGACTGATAACGATAAGGATATGATGAGCATGGTTTCAGCAAGGACTGAGATGGAGATGGCGATTGCGATGGTGATCAGGAGGCAGGAGGAGCATTCGGCGGTGCAACCACTCGCTGAACAAAGCATAAACATGAGCGTTCGAAATCCACGCAGAGCTCTGGGAGTTGATGCGTATGCAGTTGCTGTTCCTCTGCACCATCTCTCGACGCCATCGTTGCGCCTCGTGTTCCTCGCTGCATTGCTCTGTTAGGCTGCGCTCTGGAGAAGCGGGGCGGCATGCCCGTCATGACCTCGTCTTCATGGCCTTTGAGTCTGAGTTTCGAGTGCCCATGGATTTAATGCCTCTTCTCCAAATGGCTTGCGGGGATAGAAGCCTGATATTGCTGGCTACCCAATGGGTTCCATAGAGCTGCGGCGGCTCTTCGTAGTCTACGTGAGCCGCCCATTGTATGCGAATTCATGCAGGCTCTTTGGACACCCTCCTCGGAGGTGGGCCGAGCGCTCCGCGCTCGGCCAGCTCGCGTTTGCTTTGCCGGGCAAGCAAATATATCAAATACTATTCTAGCTACGTTTGCGATACAGATAATCCGAGGGGTCGGGCTGACAACGAAGTGGCCCTAACCAGAAAAAATCTCCATGTCGGTTTCGGGCCGTGTCGCGCGTGGTGCGTGAGGCGAAGCTGCGCGATGACGACGATGCGCCGACGCAGCTGGGGCCAGGCCGTACAACGCAGAAAGATATACACTGACACCCTCCAGTGGATTGCTCCTGGGCCTCAGGGAAGGTGGCGGTGTATACGTCACACTGGGAGCCAGCGCCTCTACACACCGCCGCCCTCCCTGAAGGTGCATGCAAAGTTAGTCGGAGGGCGTCTGTGAACATCTTTTCGTGGCGTAGGTCGCACAGCAATTCCTCTTCAGGTTGTGCAGATCCTCGGCGTGGTGGCGTGATTGTCCCACGGCTGTCCCGTCGGGTGTCCCGTGGTGTCATCGCATGGGCGCATGGGTGATTTTGTGGGTTGTTCTCCCCGCATGTTACTCTGCGGTAGTCCCGAGAACTGCCCTGTGCTTGTCCCGGGGGTTGTCCCTTGGGTGTCCCGTGGGAGCTGCACAGAGTAATGCGAATGTCGTGACAAACGATATGCCGAACGAGCCACACGCGCCTAGTTGCAAGTGTTAGAAGCAGATCGGGACGCACAGCGACGTGCAAGAAAATAAAGTTCCGATCGGGGCGCCCATGCAATCTCAGTCGACATGCACGCTGCAGGTATAAAGGGAATGTGATGGGCAATGAAAAACGGAACGCACATGACAGTTCAATCGAAGCCGTAATGCGAATTCAACTTCAATCCAAGTGCAAATCGAAACTGAAAAAACAAAACCCACTGTGATCGCAATGCATGGTTTCGAACGCCCCCGACCTGAAGACTGCCCCCAGGGAGGCCCATGAAGCACAGCTGCCGACTTCTGGATCGGTCGTGGGAGATCGACCGTGGGACATCCAGCGCGGTTCGAAGGACAGCGCGGCATCGTCGCGCCCTGCTCCTTGGACCGAGGGGGCCGCGTCAAGGCAACCGATCCTCGCGCGACTGGCAGCCAGTGGCCGTCACGGCTTGAGCCCGGTGAGTTTTTGTTGCGCTCCAGAACGGTCCGAGTCTCGATTCTCACCCTGCGGCCGGTTTTTCGTCCCGAGCCGTTGCTTGTCGGTCCTGGGCCCATACGTACGGGCCCTGAGAGGTCGAAAGGGGCGAGAGGCAAGCAGTGGGGAGGCGTCATGGCTTGCTCACAGGCCCACCAAAGACGCATCGAATTACTTTGTTGTGTTCCGTGCGAAGCGTTCTTGGATCATTTCTCGCTGAGGCCGGTCTTGTTCGCACCAGTCGCGTTTACGAATTGAGCAACTCGTTCTTGTCATCGGAGGAGTTTATTCGTTTTTGAAGAATCCCGTGGAAGGCCCAATTAGAAATATCGGGACGGTCGGTCTTTGCTCGAGAACGACTTACGTATTGGTCTTTCCCTGCTGGAGGATTTAGAGTTTTGGGCGACGGAACGTGAGAGGTCATGGCGCCAACATCGCATAGCGGATTTGGTTCGGAAAACGACAGGAGGGGCCCGGCTTGTCCTGGAGAATTGTGTTTCCGATGCCGAGGTGAATTTCGCGCGGACTTTTGTTGGCCAGGAATGAAGACCAGAAAGAATCCACGCGACATTCACGCCGTTTCTCGCTCGCCGCTGCGGGCTGAAGTCCAAGCAGACGTCCGCTGCAGCACGCCTGCAAGGCCCGTGCAATGACGAGAGGAGGAGCGGAAAAGAGGGGGGTGATGACTAGGGGGGGTTGGATATCATGGCGGGGGCCATGATATTTCCCCAGATTTCATGGCGCCCCTTCTTATTTCAGTACGTCCCTGGCCCCCCCGCTGGGCCGCCCACATGCCGCCGGTCATGATTTGCACCCCCCCCTCTTGGACACCCCCCTCTTTGCCGCTCCCGAGAGGAGGAGCAGCAGAGCGAGGGAGCGGGCCCCCGCCGGCCCCGGGCGCGCGCGCGCGCGGTGCGCGAGAGCGAAGCCCCAGGACTGCGGCCTGGAGCCCCCGCTTGCGGAGGACCGCGGCGACGGGGGGGCGCCCAAGATCAGAGGCCTTGAGGTTGACACCGACACCGATGTCGGCGGTGTGCCTCCACCGAGGGAACATGATCCCGATCTTGGCGATGGTGGTCACGTTCGGGCTTCGAAATATTGCCACCACCACCGAAATCGAGGACCACCTTCCCCCTGTGGAGGCGAAGCCCCTGTGCTGGTGCTGGTGCCCATTTCCAGGCCTCCACCAAGAGGGGGGTCAGGAAAGGTGCGCAGGAATCGGAACGACGCCTTCGGTTATGACGTTTCAGCGTACTTTAGCCCTGGTCACCAGAAAGAATTCCGAGCGCCAGAAAAGCACCGGCACGCGATGGTCTTCGCGTGTCATGCCCTGGGAGGCTCGTCCGACACTATTTCGACGCTCTTTCGAACTCTTTAGACACTTTTCTCCGGGTGCTCGAAATTCTTTCAGGGACGTGGTCCTTAAGCACGACGTGAGCAACACACAGTGGGGGCGCCCATCAAGAAGCCATGTGCTTTTCGTCAGGGCATCCCGGGCCTCTTCGCTCCTCGCGCTGCGCGGTGACTTCCCGCAGCCGTTGAAGGAGCGGGTCCCTTCATGTGCACCTCACGCACGGGTTCTCAGGGTTGGGTCTCTTGCGAGGGTTTCTCGCGGCCGCGCCTGCGCTGCAAGCCTACGGCGAGTCACCGGGGCGCCCTGACTTTCGGGAGCGCCCGTGCGGCCGAGCGTTGGGCCGAAGGTCCCCCAGCCCGAAGAGGCCAGCCAGTGCGGTGAGCGGGCGTTGGCCCATCGTGCGCCTTCACGTGGAGAGGACGACGCGATATACTCGGACATGTTGTAGCATATACGTAGCACCCCGCAGTTGCGGACAAGAGTGTGGTTCGCGGGGTGGGTCGTGGGGTGGGTCGCAAGGGGGGTCGAGGGCGAGGACGACGAAAGCAACAACTCAACAATGATCCGCAACGCGGAACCTTACTTCAGCCACGCGCCCAGGGACAGTGAATGGCCGTTCGGCCCCCTCAACTCTGACAGGCTCTGTGACGGGCGTTTTCTGGCCGCACCGCTCGCACGAGGACCTGTTCGAACATTGGTTTGTTAGATGTTCGTGTCGGACGAGCAACTCCATCAGCACGTCGTATAAGTACGCCCTCGGGCGCGCGAAGCTGCGCGAGTACGCTGCAGAGCCTGCTGGACACGCCCAGCGCTGCTTGCGTGGCCGGCCTCCCCGTTCTCGTCCCCGTCCCCGTCGGAACCCCCACGGCGCGCTGGCCGCTGGCCGCCCAGTGGCCGCGCCGTGCGCGAGGTTGGGTGGCCCCGTGAGTCGCCCACGATGGGATGTCACCGGCCTGGGACATATCCCTATCCCCATGGTTGGGGCGGCCTGGTAGCTCGGGGGAGAAAAAGATGCGGATACGTGTCGTCCCCCTTCGTTTTCGGCCTTTCTTGGTCCTCCTGGGGAATTCTCGTTGTCACCGCTGGATACGCCTCGAAATTCTGGTCAGAACGCACCCCAAGAGAGGTCCGGGGACAAAACGTATCCCCATCTTTCCGCCCCCCTCTATCCCTATGGTTGGGGTGGCCTGGTAGCAGGGCTGGACCTAAAGGGTGTTTTTGCAGTTTCGTGGCCCGTGTTCGTGCCGACTTCGTTTTGCGGTAGGGGCGGATCCGAGACAGGGAATGCGAAGACGAAACGAAGAACGAAAAGCACCGTTCAGGTTCAGCTTTGTCTGGTCTTACCAGCCTGGAACATATCCCTGTCCCTATGCTGGGCATCTCCTCAGCACGATGCCAATCTTAGGGATCCCCTTATTTTCTGACGGCGCATCCCCAAGATTGTCATCGCCTCTTGGCGTGTCCATCTTAGGGATAAGGGATCAGTTCGAGGCCGGTGAGGATGGCGGTGGCGACCACGGCGCTGGCGACGATGCACCTGCCGACGATGCGGCGGCGACGACGCCGACGCCGACGGCGGCGGCGAGCGCGGCCTGCGCAGCGACGGCGCCGACGGCCTGCGCGTCGCCCCGCGCGCAGGCCGTGCGGCGCGCCGCGCAGGGCGCCGCCGGCTTCGGGGCCGACCGCGAGGTACTCGACGCCGCGGCGCGGCCGCCGCTTTCGCCGACGACGACGACGACGACGACGACTACGACGACGACGACGACGACGACGGCACGACGACGGCACGACGACGACGACGACGACGACGACGAGGACGACGGCACGACGACGGCACGACGACGGCACGACGACGACGACGAGGACGAGGACGACGGCACGACGACGGCACGACGACTACGACGAGGACGAGGACCACGACGACGACGACGGCAAGGACGATGACGACGACGTTGACGTCGACGAGGACGAGGACGAGGACGAGGACCACGACCACGACCAGGACCACGACGGCGGAAGCCACGACGGGGACAAGGACAAGGACGAGGATGAGGCACGACGACGACGACGAGAAGTACGAGGACGAGGACGCCGACGATCACGACGACGTCGGCGACCGCGGCCGCGCCGGGCCGCGCGCCTGGCGGCGGCGGCGCCGCCGCCTCCCGGTCCTGCTTGCAACAGTGGGCGTGGCCTTTGGTGCAGCTTTCCATGGGGGAGTGGGTGTCCAGAGGGTTCGATGATCAGGGCTTCTTTTCGTTTGTGTGCACTTTGTTTGCATCTGCCAGGGGCAGCCTTCGTGGGGAGGATGGGCTCGAGGGAGGCACGTTTTGACCCCCAGTCACCCATGATCGCCGATGAGGTGCCCGACACCTAAACCCGCCCAGTTCGGATTCGCTATCTAGGGTTTATGGCCGATCCACCGGCGATGTATCGCCGATTCCGGGTCGATGTTTTCCCCGCCGAGCCCGTCCCTCCCCCCGTCGTTTCCCTGCACAGTCCAAAGTGTTTCTGGTGGTTTTCTTGCCTCGGGATCTGTTCCAGCAGCTGCGCCTCGCGGAGAGCGTTCCGGGGGCGCCCGAGTGGTCGCGGTCGGCCGCAAGAGACCCGAGTCACGAACAGAAGAGCTCGAAAGCGTCGGCAGCACGCAAGAGTGACCATTGGCACGAGTGGCGACACGCTTGCAAGCCGCTGCTGCCGTATCACAGTCAGCGAGTCGAGGCGGACGAAGTGAGGAGCTCGGAAAAAGGTGCGACATGTGTTGCGTGTAGCTGGCTTCTCGGCCTTTGGCGCGCTCCTCGATGCACGGCCGCCTTTAGCGTTAGGAGGTACGCGGGCAAGCTGGCTGCACGGAGCTGATTGGCCAGCCCCCCCTGCTGATCGGCAGGTTCTAGTCGTGGCCCAGAGTCGGCCAAAATGGAACGATCGTCCGATGGGAAAGCCGCCGATCGTTCCAGGTCGAACGATTCACATGGTGCCAGCAACCAAAGTGCAGGTTGTCTCGAAGAAGAAAGAAACCAGAAACATTAACTTTTGGCGTTTTGGGGGGTCCTTCTTCTATTGTCAGGACACGAACCCGCCGTATCTTCCCCGTTTCGTCCTCCCCGAGCGGTGGCGACGCCGAGCCTGGTCGATGCGCTTTAGGAATGGATTCGCCTTCGATGGTCGAGTGAGTTGCCATCTCTTCCTCGGCGGAAGGTGGCGGAAGTATATCGAATCATATAACAAAAAAACGCCATAGACCTAAACTTTGGGCGCTCCGCGCAGATTTCTTGGAGAGCCGCGTGGAGCGCCAAATGTTTATGTGCATGGCGTTTCTCCTCTGGTACCTCAGGGGGCGCCTCCGCCGTCGGAAGGCCAGCGGAGGCCAGCGGAAGCAAGCCTCGGCCTCCCCAGAGATGGCCAGGTCGGTCGGTTCGGGAATTTCCGGAGCCCGCTGGTGAGCGGACGGGGCCAGGCCGAGGGCAGATCCGTTCCAGGGCCTTCTGGAACTGGAGTCTCCAGCCTCCTCGTTCCCCAGGGTCTGTCCCAGTCGGTCCTCCGAGCTGCCCCGAACCGTGGCCACGAGGACGCTCCAGCAGGGCCAGGAGGGTTGACGCCTTGCCTGTTTGCAGATCCCCCAGGCCCCAGGCACACTTCTGCCGGGAGGGCATCGCCGGCACAGTTCCGCGAAAGCAGGGGGAAAGAGGGGAATCGGAAGGAAAGAGAAAAAGAGAGGAAAATACAGCAAGTATGCACAACAATTTGAAATTGTCGAGTCGTTTGTGTCGTCGAGTTTTGGGTTTGGTGTCGTTCGTGTTAAAAATGCCAGGGTTTGTCGAGTCGTTGGTGTCCCCCGGGGCCCCTTCCTTGCACCGTGTGCGCGTGGGCCCCTCGGCGGCGACACGCCCGCGCAGAGATCTGACAGTTTTAAGTCGGGCCTGGTCCTCGACAGGAGAAGTATCCAAAAATAGTGAAAGAGTAGCCTGGGGACGATTTGTTCGATAAGTTGCGTGCCAATTGTTCTATTTGGGGGTATTGTATTATCTTTCGATCATGTGTTTTCCATTTTTTTATGTTTTTATGTTGGAGTATTTTTGTTTCTACGCTCTTTTACTTTTCGCCCAGACTCCGCCTGTAGGGGGACACGCCCGACTTCATGATAGTATATGCTCGGTGGCTGCCGTGTTCTGGCCATTCTGCATGGGTAGCGATATTCGGCCATTCGCAGAGGTGGTTGGAGGGTTTCTCCGAAGGGCTTAGGCGACTTGTCCTCTTCGTTCTCCTCTTCCTCCTCCTCTTCCTCCTCCTCTTCCTCCTCCTCCTCCCGCTCCTCCTCCTCCTCCTCCTCCTCCTCCTCCTCCTCCTCCTCCTCCCCTCCTCCTCCTCCTCCTCCTCCTCCCCTCCTCCCCCTCCTCCTCCTCCTCTCCTCCTCCCCCTCCTTCTCCTCCTTCTCCTCCTCCTCCTCTCCTCTTTTTCTTTCTCTCCTCCTCCTCTCCTTCTCCATCTCCTCCCCCTCCCACTCGTCCCACTCCTCCTCCTCCTCCTCCTCCTCCTTCTCCTCCTCCTCCCCCCCCTCCTCCCCTCCTCCCCTGCTTGCTTTAGAAGACGCGGGCCTCCTCTATAGATGTAAGGCCAGCGCCTTGCAAGAAGCAGCCGCCTTCCAAGAAGCCTTTCCCCCCTCCCCCCTCCCCCTTGTGCGCGCCGCCAAGATGTGTGCTACTCACAACAGCGATCGTGTGATTATTCATTGTTTTCCCGATGGGCGCGGGCCCTCGTACCCCCTCCCCCCCCCCCCCCACGTGAAGTAGATCCCTGGAGGTTTTTGGGGCCCGCTTCGAGCAGGTGGAGTCTCCCCCGGAGGACGCACTGCTGCAAACGGTCGCGCGAATCGGAGGTCCGGAGCCGGACCTCCCGCTCCCGCTCCCCCCTTCCGCCCAGTGCCGGAACGCCGAAGAAGACGCCGCTCACGCATGTTGGCTTTGGACGTGCGCCTTCGGGGGGGCCTCGCAGTGCTAGCGTGTCCTGGTGCGTTCGATCTTCGGAAGCCGGGCAAGGGCTGCCAAATCCGTGGCTGCTAGAATCGACCTCCTGGAGGTTGTCTTCGTCCTTGCGGGGATGAAGCCCGTTGACTGTTTTGCGTGCCGCGCCTCATTCCGGGAAGTTGTTTTTTCCTTCCGGGAGGGCCGTTTCAGCAACCACGGTTTTAGCAGCCTTCGCCCAGCTTTCGATATATACGTCCTGGCGGTCGATTCGAAGGGCAAGGATTCTGGGTCCTACTCCCTAGTCGTCGAATCTCTTGGAGGTAGAACGTCGACGACGCCGCCGACGACGATCACGATGGCGAGTTGAGATAGCTGTACGTTGGCCTTCGGGGTGGCCCTTCGTTGCTACCGTTTGGCGCAGCTCGACACACATGCTTGGTGCCATGGAGGGGTGGCGACCGATTTTGCGCTGCCGTTGTCTCAGCTGGCCCTGCTTCGAATCGCCGCCCCGACGACGTCGTCGACCATGCAGGGGTGGAGACCGATTTTGCGCTGCCGTTGTCTCAGCTTGCCCTGCTTCGAATCGTCGCCCCGACGACGTCGTCGACGACCACGATGACGCTGCCGACGCAACGGCGTCTGGCGCCAGCGACGGCGACGGCCGCAGGTCACCATTGTGGACGAGGAGTCGGTGGTTGCACAAGGTGCCCCTGGCCCAAGGTGCCTCCAGCATTTCGCTCCACTCTGGAAATCCTGGGAGCACCTTGGGCCTTCATCGCTCGGACGCGCTTACGTTTCTTCCTGGCGTGGACCATCGAGAAGCATCCTGGTTCATCTTGCGGAAAAATGCACGTGCGAATCCGGCAAATCTGCACGAACGAAATGGGCACGGAAAGAACGGGTACAATGCCCAACAGCATATCTTGTTCATTTTGAACCGGACTCGCTGTCCCCGCCGCCGCGGTCTGTGCCCATTCGATACAGAAGGCCGCGTGCCCAACAGCGGCCGCTGTTGCTTTGGGACAACATTCGTTGTTGGGCATGGTACCCATTATTTCCGTACCCGTTTCGGACGTCCACCACACAGGCGCGGGGACTGGGCGTCCGAGCGATGGCCAGGGGCCAGGGGCACGACCTGCAGCCTCCGCAGGACGGCGACGAGGTGACCTTCTCCCTGGAGCCCGCGTCCTCGGCCGGCGTCGGCGGCCTGCAGGCCCGGGCGGGCACCGCCGCCGAACCCGTGGTGGTGCTCGTCGGAGTGGCTGCGGCATCGTGCGACGGTGGGGGGGCCTTCGTGGGTCCTGGAAACGGCAGGGCCGTTTTTTTACTCGGGGGCGGAAAGAGGGGGGTGATGACTAGGGGGGGGTGGATATCATGGCGTGGGCCATGACATTTCCCCAGATTTCATGGCGCCTCTTCTTATTTCATTACGTCCCGGGCGGGAACCGCCGCCGCCGCCGCCCGCGGTGGTGCTCGTCGGAGTGGCTGCGGCATCGTGCGACGAGGGGGGGTCGGGTACAGTACGGTACAGCCCAGGACGCGAGCGGAACGCTGTCACACCGTTTTCATGTTTCCGGAGCGTTTTGTTCGAAAACGCCTCAACACGACGTTTTGTTGCAATGCCGCCAGACCGCACCGCGCCGCCGCCGCCGCCCGTGGTGGTGGCCGTCGGAGTGGCTGCGGCATCGTGCGACGGGGGGGGGTCGGGTATAGCCAGGACCTTAGTGGGTCCCGGAAACGGCAGGGCCGTTTTTATAACGTTTCCGAAGAAGTGCCCCTTGAAGACGTAAGCGGCAAAACAACGGCGACCGGAAACGGCAACAAAGACGGCTCCAGGATCGCATCCGGAGCGGGAACCCGTCAAAGAACGGCGACGGCACCGGCAAAGAAACGGCGTCGGACCCGGCAAACAATCTGCAAAACGGAACCGGAAAAAAAAACGGCCCTGTCGTTCCCAGGGCCCATTATAAGGGGGGTGTCGGGTCTAGCCAGGACTTTAGTGGGCCCTGTCAACGAAAGGGCCGTTTTTTTACCGGTTCCGTTTTGCCGTTTTTGTTGCCGGTTCCGACGCCGTTTTTGTTTACCGGTTCCGTCGCCGTTCCTTTTTTGGTTCCGATCCTGGAGCCGTTTTTGTTGCCGTTTCCGGTCGCCGTTTTTTTGCCGTTTCCATTTTCAAGGGCTATTTTTTCGGAAACGGAGAAAAAACGGCCCTGCCGTTTCCGGGGCCCACTAAGGCCAGGACCCCAGGTAAGGGGACCCTTTAGTGGTAGGGCCCTGGAGCCCTTCAAACTTGCCAGAGTCGCTGAACCAGGTCTGCCGTAGCTGGTGCTTTGCGGGCGACGGTAGTTCCGGTCAGTGGAACGGGGCGGGGGGGCGGCCCCCAGTACATATCTCAGAGAGTGAATTACCTACCCCGCTTTCGCTTCCAGGAAAAACCAAGTCATACCACGCGCCTCCTCGTCAAGCGGCCTGACCAGTACAGGCCGTAGTTTGGCATCGCTTGGTATCTCTTGGAAGCGAGGGTGGTCAAAAGCGAGGTAGTTCTGTTTTCCCCCTAAGATCACTAAACCATGTCCCACTAAACCCAGTTTTGCCAACGCCCGATGGGGAATCGAGCAGGGGCGAAGCGTCCAGGCCCAGCAGAAAAGACAGTGGGAGCGCGCCTGAAGAGACCAAGTGCTTTTCGTGAGGGCCTCCTGGGTTTCTCTGCTCCGCGCGCTGGGCGATGACTTCCCGCAGCCGCTGAAGGAGCTGCTGCGTTCCAGTTGCTCCGGGTTTCCCCTCGAGTGCACCTCTCGTGCGGGTTTTCAGGGTTGGGTTTCGTGCGAGGGTTTCTTGCCGCCGCGCCCGCATCGTATTGTAAGAGCCTCTTGTGGTCCTGCACGACATGTTCTCAGAACGCTGGTTGAGGCCGTCTTGTTGTAGCACATCGGGCCTAGGTTCTGAGAACACTGTTGTTTGGTTATCAGAGCGTTTTTGAATTCTGAGAGCACGTCTTGGTAGTCAGCCCTATTTGAATGCCGGGAACGGCTGTATCTGGTCAGCCTTTGTTACGATTTTCTGGTGCTCTTCGCCGGAGTGACGAGCCCAATTGGGCACCTGAATGCGATGCGATATAGCAGCGGCTTTCGCGCCTGGTGGTGTCCCTAAAGGGTCCTCCCTTGCCGCGCGCGGAAGATCACTCTTGCCTAGGGTCATTTTTGCGTGTAAGCGATGTGGGTGAATCCGGGCCTGGATTATGTCCAGTCCATTCTGTCATGTTAGTCAACCCATTAGTGATACATGGTAGTCCAAACACAGTGTATGTTTGTATGTTTTGTTCAGCACGTCGCCTCAATAAAGGGTCGCACAATTTTAAACAAACCATTGTTCGATGGCGTTTCTGCGCAACCCCATTGGACAGGGCCCAGATACCTTATAGTGTATACGCGCGATTCCCAGTACAGTCATATCGCTGCAACAAGGACAACTCCAGATTCAGGAGAGGCTCGGATGTTCCTAATGTCAAAAAATGTTGACCATGTACCCTTTGACGCACCCAACCCATTTGCATCAAGTGGTAAGAGGAGTTGGCCCCAACTTGCCAAGACAATGGCAGCGCAGGCGTCGTTATATGTGGTGCTAGCTACATGGGACTCGCTTGCGTGGCACGATTCACAGGACAACAACAGAAGGATGATGAGCGAGGGGTTTGAGGAGGACATGGGGGCGGACAACGACAAGAGAATGACGGTCGCGCGGGGGGCTTATTCGTCAGCGCGGCAGCAGCAGAGGGAAGGTGGCAAGGGGGCAGAGGACGACGACCCAAGTGACGGGAGGAAACCGAAGAGTGCTTGCCTTTGCCGGTAGCACGCTACAGATGCAGCGTTGCCTGCGCCATGTCGCTGCGGCGCTCGACCAAATGGTTAAACCGCTAAACCTGTTTGCAGAATGTGCAGGAAGCGAGCGAGGCCGAGCCTGCTCCCTGCACTCGTAAGTGCGGGAGCTACACTCCCGAAGGCGCGCCTCCAGGTCTGCCGGCGGCCTGCGACAGCGCCCCGCTGGACCCCTTGGCAGCCTTGGAGAGTGCTGACACTTCCGCTGATGGCAGCCTCCCAGGGCTTGCGAGGTCTCCTCTGCGTTCGGGTGGTGCCTCACCCCGCTGGCCCCCCCCAGCAACCCTCGAAAGTGTCGGCAGTATCGCAGATCGCAGCTTCCCAGGTGAACCCGCGAACAGGCTTCGAAAGTGTCGGAATTTTCGCAGATCGCAACCTTCCAGGGATGGCGCGGTCGAATCTAAATGTGGGTTGTACGTCACCCGTCTGGGCCCCCCAGCGGCCCTCGAAAGTGGGGGCGGTTGCTCAGATCGCAGCCACCCAGGGATGGAGAGGTCGAATCTGACTCTGGGTGGTGCCGCATTCCGCTGAACCCCCCAGCAACACTCGAAAGTGGCGACAGGCTCGCACCTCGCAGGCTCCCCGGGGGTGGCGAGGTCTAATCTGAGTCTGGGTGGTGCCACATTCGGCTAGGCCCCTCAGGAGAATTCGCAAATGGCGACGGCTCGCACATCGCAGCCCCCCAAAAAAGGCGAGGTCTAGTATGAGTTCGGGTGGTGCCTCAGTCCGCTGGACCCCCAGCAGCCTTCGATCGTGTCGGCAGTTTCGCAGGTCGCAGCCCGCATGGATGACCTTGTAGGAAGCAAGCTGGCACGCAGGAGGGAGCGAGGTGAAAGGCGGTGAGGGAAGATAAGAGGAGGAGAGAGGCGGGGAGGAGGAGAAGGAAACGCGCGCGCAGTGCCTTATTCAAAACGAGTACCCAACGCAGCGGGGT